GTGTGTGTGTGTGTGTGTGTGTGTGTGTGTGTGTGTGTGTGTGTGTGAAAGAGAGAGATGCTGGAGGCGAACCCATTTCCTACATTGGTCTTGGGCTTACACCACACTGCAGGTCAGATTGAAGGTGACTTACATGGAGCTGCTGATCTGCTGCACCTGTTGTGGTGTCAAGGCAAATGCAAAACAGGTTTCCCGAAAGCGCTGGCTGTTGTCTGATGCTGGAGAAGAAAAGAGTTACATTTTAATAACCCTGAAATTCATCAGTACAAAAGATGATAGTCAGCACCACATCATTAATCAACTAGAGACCAGACAATGAAAGCCCTGAGAAGTAACAAACATGCTAGATGTGGCATGGCAAACGGAAAGGTACAGAGAGGCTTAATTCCAGAAACAGCCCATTAGAATTCAAATTCAGAAAACATGGCAGAGACGAATGAAAAGTTATCTAATTATACGCACATTTCTCTAACGGCATACCAACACTAACTCCATTTAAACTGTAATTACATAAATTAATTTAAATAGACGTAGTTTCTGAGTTAAGAAACAAAGTACCTGCTTTGAGATTTCCACAGGTGAAACTGCATTTGATTTTTAAAGTAAATGAAAACTTCCGTTGTCTTCTGTTTATACTAGGCTTGTTTGTTTTGAGGTAGGATCTTGCCATGATGCTATGTTGCCAAAATCAGCCTCAAACACAATTCTCCTGTGCCTAGATCCCGAACATGGTGACTACAGGCGCACACTGCCACACCTGGACACCATACACATTGTATACAGTATCATATGCAGCTTCTCTTCTTCTTGGATGAGTTCACTTCTCAAAGAAGGAACAAGGTATAAGAGAAACACAAGAACAAAACCCAAAAAGGATGGAGGAGGAGAAAAGGAAGCCAGCCAGCAAGCAGGTAAGCTGTGTCATTTAGAAAAAGGGATTCCCCAACTATGCTGAGATCAAAACCAGGTGCAGCCAGGTGTGTGCACACACGCGGACACATGCGCACGCGCACACGCACGCGCGCACACACACACACCAGGGGCTGGGTGCTAAGCACAAAATAACTATTTGTTGACTAGGTAAACTGTAAACACTAAGAAAGATAAGGCCTGGGGATGTGGCTCCACTGGTAGGCTGACTGCCTAGCAAATTCCTGTGCCACATAACATGGGTGTAGTGGCACACATCAGTAATCTCAGTACTCAGAAGCCAAAGGCTCAGAAGGTCAAGGTTATTCTCAGCTACATAGTGAGTTTAAGGTCAGCCTGGGCTATATGAGGTTCTGTCTTTCAGGGGGAAAAAACTGAACTGCACTTTTCCAAGATAATTTTCTACAACAAAAGAATCACTAAGAGTTGCTACCATGGAATTCCTGGCTGTGGGCTAAGACTGCAGAAGCTAACTGGTAGCTAATTTCAATCTCTTGCTTAAGCACGTTTGTTCTACTTGCAAGCAGCATGTAAACCACCCTGACTGCAGCATGCCTCATCGAAAAATGTGCACAACCACCGAGGGAAAAGAGCACAGGTCTAAAATTACATTCTGTGCAGGAGCAGCATCTTTTAAAGGCTAGATTTGCATTTCTGCTTCATGTGGGGGAGAGGCTTTTTTAAAAAGAATCTATCACCAAGGAACGGTTGCTAACCAGAAGTTACCACAATTGTGAAGTGACGACCTGGCAATGACCAAAAACCGAAATCAAGGAGCAACATGCAGGAAAGCAAACACTGTCCTCAGTCAGCAACCTAAACTGACATACAGGATCATCAGAGGATCCTGTACAGAGATTTTTTCCCCCCAGCAGGCCTGGACTAGCTAATTTAAATCTTTGGCTCCATTCTAAAACAGTGCTAAAATAATCTCCCGCGAACAAAATTCTTATTATTCACTAGGCAAAAATTTAGACACGTTTTCAAATATATGACTATGGTAAAGTTTCAGATGGTAACAGATTTAGAAAGACAAGATGATGGTTTAAACAACATGGCTGCTTCTTAATGATTTAAAATCTGCAATGCTAGAGACTCCACCCACTGGTGCCATAGGCACTGGCCTAATCTCGTTATCCAGAGCAGCCATTTTTCAAGTATCAGAAACATGGATGCCTTTACCCTCTCCATCAGAATTTCTCTTGACACACCCTAGACTGTGACACTCAAAAGGCCACCATAACTGAAGACACTTTCAAAGAATTTATTATTTGTTTAGAATATGGGCAGTCCATGCACACTGGCCCAACTCCGTGCAAATGACATTGCGCTTCAGTCAATGAAGTAAAGCAGCCTTCTAAGTTCCATCGTCTTTTCTCCCCCTGCCTCCATCCCAGAGTACACATGGAGAAACAGACCTTGGTTGTTACCCATTGCCATCTGTCAACTCTGTGACATACTTCAGATGGACCATGATGAGAGCACCACTATTACTGTGACATCTAGTGTCGTCAGCCCGGAGCAACGTGAAGGAAAGCTACACGCCCCTTGCAGATGCTGAAGCTGGTGAGCACTAGGCTCTATGTTCCCGGTCAGTCAACTCAGAGCTGTCCTGTTCAGCTGCACAGATGGTTCAGTGGATGCGGCATTGCAGGACTGGGTGTGGATTCCCAGCGCCCGGGTAAAAAGGCAGGCATGTTGCTATGTCATTGGCCCACACCTGTAACCCCTGGGCTGAGACAGACAGAATGACCCCTGGGGCTTGATGACCAGCCTGTGCAGCTGAACAGGAGAGCTTCAGGCTCAGTAAGAAACTCCATCTCAACAAACCAAGGTTGAGGGCAAATCTCTCTCCTTCTCCCTGGACCCCAACCCCAATGATTTCATGAATAATAATATAAGAGTATTAAGTAGTTGTGATATGCAACAGCCCACAACAGTTTGTAATTGCCCTTATCTGGTCAGCAAGGCAGCTGCTGCCAATTTAATGTGTGGTACTCAGTAACTACTTCGTAGCTGAGTTTACATTTAAATTTTTTCTAGGCTTGTTTTTGTTAATTTAAGATATTTAATTGTCTAATTTTATTCCGTAACTATTTTTAAGTCTGCATAAAGGTTCCATATGTAAAAATATTAAAACCCTTAGAAATTTGTTACAAATATTTCTTAGAGTCTGGTAAACAACCCCTCCCCCGCATTTTAGCTGCATTTTGGATGGTATGAAAGTTAACTCTGGCCCGAGAGATGGCTCAGCAATTCTAAGTGAGCAAGCCCAATGACATCACTGGGTCCCCAGAACCAATGCAAAAGCCAGATGTGGTGGTGCATGTCTGTAGTCCCAGCACTCCTGTAGTGAAACTGAAGGTGGAGCCAGGACAATCTCCCAGAAACTCAAAGGCAGCTAGCTTGAAAAACATGCAGAGGTAAACAAGAGAGATCCTGCCTCAAACAAAGTAAAAAGCAAGGACTCATATCAGAGATTGTCTGCTCACATTCAGGAGCAAAACAACACATGTGTGCCCTCATACATGAATATGTATATACACATATCACACATACACAAAAATATATTAATCAACAAATGTTTGAAGTTACATTTTCATGTAGCTTACTTTATTAACCATTTGTAAATTTCTATACTAATTAAGACCAGTACACAAAATTCTTTCATTGTTTCTATATCATTTTATACATTTGAAACTTATGTGTTTATTGCTTACAGTTATTTGTTAAATGAGTTGTACTTTCAAGCCAGGCATGGTGGTGCAAACCGTTAATCCCAGCACTTGGGAGGCAGACGGGCAGATATCCTTGAGTTCAGCTGGTCTACATAGTGAGTTCTTGCACAGCCATGACTACGTAGAAAAAAGCCCACCTCAAAACCAAACAAACAATAAAAAATGTACTTTTTTACAAGTTTGTGTCCTAACACAAGGACCCTACATTAGATCTTTACATCCAAGTTACTCTGTTTTGTTGTTGTTGATGGTTTTGTCCTTTTTTTTATAGAGTTATTTTTCCACTGATCACTTTCGGGGAGGGAAGGCAGACTTACTCTACATCCACACTTATGATCCTCCTCCGTCAGCCTCTCCAGGGCGGGGGGTTTCTGAAATGTCCGTGCTCAGCTTCCACTGATCTTTTACTGTGGTTTGAAAATACCACTTTTAGTCCCTATACCTTATTTTGCTTTAGCACCTCACCATTAGGTTTCTCACATTTATTCTTCTCTTTCTTTCTTTTTGTTCAGAACAAGGCTCTAACACACAGTCATCTAGACAGATTTCCAACTATTAGGATATTTTGGGGCTGTGTTGTGTGTTGTGTACATGTGGAAGCAGAACAAGATGTCAGATATCTTCCTCCATTTGCTTTTTTCCCCTTGTACCATGGTCTCTCACGGAACATGAAGGTCACCAGTTTAGCTAGGCTGGTTGGCCAGAGAAGTCCCGGGATCCATCTGTCCCCACGTCCATTCATGACAGCAGGTCCTCACCTGCCTTTCTTCTGTAAACAGTGGGAATTCAAACTCAGTCCTCATGCTTACAGGGCAAGTGCTCTTTCTCACACAGCCATCCTGAGTCCTTTTACTAGCACTAATTTTTAAAAGACAGTCTAGCTATAAAGGCCAGGCTGGCCTTGAACTCACAGAGATCTTTCTGTCTCTACCTTCTGAGTGTTGGTTACTCTTATGACCTTTAAAGCTAAATGATATTTCAAGTAGAATTACTATGAACCTATAGCCTTGAGAGTGTGTCTCTTCCCATCTCTAATCTTTCTGTCCTGGAATATTATACTAGTACCCAACTGATTCATAATGTCAAGGCTTTATTTCCACCATATAGCTATACAGTGTTCATAAATATCCTTTTTATACAGATTATCTATTCACAAGAGATGTCTCAACAAGCATACATGTAACAGAGTATAAGCAAAATCTAATGAAGGCAATTACTACATATTGCTACGGGCGTGAGCCTCAACATAGTAGAGGCTAAAGACATGCTTCTGCGGTTGAGAGCACTTGCTGTTCTTGCAGAGGACACGTGTTCAATTCCCACATGGTGGCTCACAACCATTCATAACCCCTGTTCCAGGGGAGCCAATGTCTTCTTCTGACATCAGGCACAAATACAGTGCATGTACATACATGTAGGCAAAACACACACATAAAATAAAACTAAAAAAATAAAAATATCATTCAAGTATATAAGTAAAGAAAACTTAATCTACTGCCTTTGATGTAAGAGAAGGAATAAGAATATACAGAGAGCACTCAGGAGGCAGA